TTTTTTCTTAAAATTCTTCACGTCCTCGGTGAGAAACCAATCGATTTCTTTTTTGTGAAAAATTTCACGGAGGTTAGGTAGATCGCCTTGCCAGTGTACGATTATCGGATACAACTGATACAGAAATTCGTATCTTTTTCCTCTGATCTCCCAGTTGATTTTATTCCTTAAACTTTTCAATTTTTCACAGTTGACTCGCGCAACGTTGTTATTGACATTAAAGTCATCCGGGATATTCATGATTGTTCGTCGCACTGATACACAACACAATTTTTTTTTACTTTTTCATGAAAATCACTTGCAACACTCGGTAAGAGTCGCTTTTTTGACGTTTTCAACGTTTTTAGCCGAAAAACTGAACGTGGAACGATTCACTCACAACAAAATTGATCTTAATAATTTGCAATACTTTTTACTGTTTTTGTAAAAATCACTTGCTGTAGTCCATGCGATCTTTCTTTGTTTATCGCAGCACTGCGGCAGGTGCACTGAACAGTGAACACTGAACTGAACGACTCGACGTGCGGCACAGCGTTGCCAACCGCGTCCGCGTGTCTTCTTGATAACGACCACATTCTTGAGGAGATTTAAGCTTCCATGCCCGAGCAATAACGTAAACATGCATCGCAAAACATACTGAACAAAATTTGCTATATAGGTACCTACTCGGCATCGCAACACAAGAAAATAAGGTATTACTCAAGTAATAACAGAATAAATGCGGAAGGTGGTGGTAACGTTTACGAAGATCGATTGAATTGTCAGTGCAGTGTCAGTGACAATCTGCATGTTTGTACACAAATAGCTTGTGGCAACTGACAAGCAGTCATTTAAAAGTGATCCACTCTTAAGAAGTAATAAATTATATTTCAAACATTTTTCAACTTTCATATTGAAGTTTTGAATTGAAATTGTAATTGAAAACGCCTTTTACAGTTTGTTAGCTAAAACTTATTAATTGTAAACATTGTTCATCGAACATGAAAATTGCTTTCAAACGCTCTAATAATACATTTTTAATCTTGAGAACTTTTACTGAACGGGCAGTGAACATAGAATCTCAAAAGTACATAAACATTGCTTTCAAAAGCTTAATAACCAAAATATCAGAATGAAAATCTAATGTTGATAAATTAATTGAATTGACTTATACAATGGCGATTAATCTTATAACAGGAAGCTGAATAAATCACATGCTTAGCGCTGATCTTTGATATTGTAACAATTTATTTAAATGGTTTTTACAAAAAAAAATATTTATCTTTTACAGCTTACACTTATAAAAATTTAAACATTCAGAATTTTTAAAAGAGCAGATTTTTTATCGGTGGTGAGAGAAATTGATTTGTGTAGTTGATATTAATTTTTCACCAAATAGTAAAATACAATCTTACAACTGCATTTTATAAAATGTTGAAATTACATATGCTTTTTTGAATCCATTTATTCCATAACGATTAATCAAACTTCTTTCTAAATAGAAGACTCTACACACGCATACATCCAAATATATACTTTTACACTTCTAACATTTTCACTTTAGCTTGAAAATCCATTTTAGAGTTCATCAATTATGCTTTCTCTGGGACCAAACAATACCCTTGAAATATTACCAAAAAAATAATTCAATGACCCAATGGTATTGATGAAATTTATTACGATCAAATTAAGAAAAAGAAAATATTGTCTGAATAAAATTATGCTACATATAATAGAAAACTAGGTCAAGAAAGAAAAATTATGCAAATCTGATCCTTTGCTTTGATTCTGTATAATTGAGTGAACAATTTTGTTCATTATTTCAAACACTTTAGTTCATTATTTCAATTTCTATATGCAATAAAATTTTAATTTGATATGCAATTAATATAGCGCACACTAACAAAAATATTTTTAAATTATCTAAGAAGCAGTAAATTTATGATTTTTCATCTTTGTTACCTAAAAAAAAGAACAATAGGATTTTATTATGAGATTTAAACAAAATGACCACCTCTAGTAAAACAACAAATGTCAAAATACCTTTCCCATCGATATCAAGCATTTAGCTTTTCTTATTTGCAGCGATTTTTGCAGCCAGGCATATATTGAACAATTCCTCGTTTATCAGTTGATCGATGATTATGTCGCAGCAGAGAATCGGCAGTTGGTAGCGCGTCAGCGTCAAGATAGAATCCAATGCCCATCGTCGGCAAAATCTTCTCAATATCAACTCGCACAGAAACTCGATGCAAGCCTCGTGAGATTTTGAGGGAAGCTTGAACAATTCGCGCGAGCGCGCGATCGTCAAAAAGTCCGTAACAGTTAAAAGTTTCGTTGCCTCGCTGGGTCGTAACCGGACCAAGTCGTAAAATGACAGATCTCCGTTGATCTTCATTTCTTTGGCTTTCTTCACGAACTCTTCGGTATCATACCAACACTTGTCGTGAAACAACCGTTTCTTGAATAATCCGTGCTTGACGAATTTTTTCATGATCATCAGTGCCTGGCTGACGCTACTCTCAATTTGAAATAAATCCAATGATCTTCGTCGCTCGGTTTGGATATCTCGGCGAAGTAACTCTTGGTCGGAAAAGTGAAGCCGGACAAGTCCGCGCCACGATCCAAGAGTACGTCGATGGTTTTCGGCAAGAGTCTCGCCACGGCCCATTGCAACGGTGTGCGGCCCTTCTTGTCTCGAGCGTCGACCAGCACCGCGTGATCGTCGCTGATCTCGAAAATCATCCTCGCCCAGACGTCGGCGTCGCTGTCTCTCTGGCAAACGACGTGCAGATGTAGCGAACGTCGAATGTTCGTTCGTAACTACGTTCAGCTACCAAAGTGTGACGGTTAGGAAGGAAAAAAGAAGACTGGCATTCGAGTCGCTCTCTCCGAGACGAGAACATCTTTAACCCTCAATAAAATTATTTAATAGAAATATTAATATACATCTTATTATTTCTATATATTGGTGACCCACGACTACTACGATCCGGCTTTGGAGAATTCTTTTTTTCACTGGCGATTCCTGATTTTCCTGCCACTTCCTGCCACTTCATACCTTTTCCTGACCTTTGATCGGCATCTTTGAACATGTTTCGTGACGAAGATCCGGCTGTCCTTCGCGAGCGCAACAATCAACTGCTGCAAGAATTAGAAGCTTTGCGACAAGAAGCTGAGGATTTACGCAACAATCGTGCTCCTCTTCAAAATATTGCACCGGATGCCGCTGCCGCCGCCGCTGCCGCCGCTGCTGCCGCTGCTCCCCCTGCTGCTCCGACCGCCGTTCATCGTGTAGCAGTCAAGCTCCCTCCTTTTTGGCCCGATAAACCAAGCTTATGGTTTGCCCAAGCAGATTCACAATTTACGCTATCTGACATCACTAGTGAGGTAACAAAATTCCACTACATTGTGTCACAACTTGATGCGCGCGTGGCAGCCGAAATCGAGGACATTATCACGCATCCTCCGGCATTGAACCCATACACTTTCTTGCGCACCAAGTTGATTGAGCGACTTTCTGCTTCCGAAGAACAACGTGTTCGNATGAAGAACATAAACAACATTTACGTTCAGTATTTGAACGCCTTTCCAACTTTGGCCTCGTGATTAACGTGCAAAAATCCGTTTTTGGCGTTCCTGAGGTTTTGTTTATTGGATATACAATATCATCAAAAGGAATTCGTGCGCCGGATGACAGAATTCTTGCTATTCGCGATTATCCGTTACCGAAATCAGCGCAAAGTCTTCGTCGTTTTCTCGGTATGCTAAATTTTTACCGCAGATTTATCCCGCATGCTTCTGAGTACGAAGCACCTCTTCACGACGCCATTTCCAAGCCCTTGTTGAAAGGCTCACAACCGATTCCTTGGACTCCTGATTTAAAACAAGCTTTTCAAGCTTGCAAAGATTGTATTTCTTCGGCTACGCTTTTAGTTCACCCTCGTATGGGAGCACACCTAGGTTTATTTACGGACGCTTCTAGCCATTCTGTCGGCGCTTGTTTACAACAATTAGTCGATAATTCTTGGCAGCCTCTTGCTTTCTTTTCGAAAAAGATGTCATCGAAAGAATCTTTGTGGCCGGCTTATTATCGCGAATTACTCGCAATATACGCCGCTATTCAACATTTTCGTCATTTTTTATTCGGGGTTTCATTTACGATTTTCACCGATCATAAACCTTTGATTTATGCTTTCAAGCAAAAGCATGAAAAGCTCCCTCCGATTCAATTAAATCAACTCTCTTTTATTTCTGAGTTTTCTACTGACATTCAGTATATAAAAGGAAATGATAATATTGTAGCTGATGCTCTCTCGCGTATTGACGCTGTCAGCGCGTCTTTGGATTATGAACTTCTTTCTAAGGCCCAGGAAATGGATAAAGAACTTCAAAACATCCTTCAGTCTAATTCTTCAAGCTCTCTTTGTTTAAAAAAAGTTTCGATTCCAGGGTCTACTACGCAACTTTACTGTGACGTCTCGTTAGGAAAACCTCGCCCGTTTATCACGACAGAGTTTCGTAAACTCGTTTTTGATAGTTTGCATAATCTTAGCCATCCTGGGGTAAAATCATCTACTAGACTCATCAAAAATCGTTATGTTTGGCCTTCGGTGGATAAAGATTGTCGTAATTGGGCTAGATCGTGCCATGATTGTCAACGATCGAAAATTACACGACATGTACATGCGCCTATTGGTACGTTTCAAACGACAACGCAAAGATTCTCGCATATTCATATCGATCTTGTTGGCCCATTTCCTCTTTCTCGGTCGTTTCGGTATTGTCTCACGATAATTGATCGTTTTACTCGTTGGCCAGAAGTCTGTCCGATTTCTTCCACGTCGACAGAATGCATTATTCGAGCTTTGTTAGACTCTTGGATTTCTCGTTTTGGCGTTCCACACGTAATTACCACTGATCGTGGTGGGCAATTTACGTCGCATATATTCTCGAATTTTATGAATTTATTTGGTATACAACACAATTTCACGACGAGTTGGCATCCAGCTAGCAACGGTATGATCGAGCGTCTTCATCGCCAATTAAAATCGGCGCTCATAGCTCAATCTAATTCTGACTGGGTCTCTTGTTTACCTTTTGTACTTCTCGGCATTCGTTCCTCTTTTAAAGAAGATATTAAATCTACGGCAGCTGAGTTAGTTTATGGGGAATCTCTGCGTCTTCCTTCAGAATTTTTCTGCTCAGACTCAAGATCAAGTAGATCTAGCAATTATCAAGATTTTCTGGCAGATATTAGAAAATATATTAGCGATTTGCGTCCATCTCCAGCCTCAAGACATGGAAATCCTAGTATTTTTGTTTTCAAAGAATTAAAGGATTGTTCACATGCTTATCTCAAGGATTGTAGATTTTTAAAAGCTTTGGAACCGCCATACTTGGGCCCATTTGAGATCATCGAGCGTGATGATAAACTTGTTACACTCAAGATTAATAATTCGCCAACTAAAGTTTTTATTGACCGAGTTAAACCTGCATTTCTTTTTAACAGTTCAATTACTTTTTCTGTTCATGATGTGTTCTCTGTTCCTGTTCCTGCCTCTACTCCTGATCCTGTTCACTCTGTCAAGAATCGCTTGAGCTTCACTGAACCATGACCTTCATACACTGCCAAGGGGGGTATTGTAGCGAACGTCGAATGTTCGTTCGTAACTACGTTCAGCTACCAAAGTGTGACGGTTAGGAAGGAAAAAAGAAGACTGGCATTCGAGTCGCTCTCTCCGAGACGAGAACATCTTTAACCCTCAATAAAATTATTTAATAGAAATATTAATATACATCTTATTATTTCTATACAGAGGCGTCGAGCCGTCCTCGTCGACCAGGGTCGGATCCGCCCCGTGCCTCAGCAACAGTCGCGCCATCTCCTCGTTGTCCAAGCTGGCGACCGCCAAATGCAGCGGCGTCCGACCCCATCTGTCCCGGGCGTTCAGCTGCAACGTCAGCCGTTTCTCCTCGCTGACCCTGAAGTACGTCGTGACCAGGTCGTCGTCCATGAGCCACTCTCGGCCTCTCCCGCCGATGATGTGCAGAGGATGCCTGCCAGCCCCGTCGAGGAAGTTCGGATTCGCACCCTTTCGCAGCAGCAGCTCGACCTGGTCCGCGTGGCCGTGGCCCAGAGCCACGTGCAGCGGCGTCCGACCCAAGATGTCCAGAGCGTCGACTCGCACCGGATGCCGTTGTTCCTCCTCGCTGATGTCGAATACCATCCTCGCGAAGACGACTTGACTGTCCAAGTCGCAGATGTAGTGCATCGCAGTCGTTCCCATCGAGTCGGCGAGATTCGGGTCGGCGCCGTGTCTCAGCAGCAGCTCGATCACCCGCCCGTGGTCGCGGGACAAAGCGTAGCGCAGAGGCGTCCAACACCGAGACTTCACCGACTGCAGACCACAGTTCGGATCCTGGCCGAGCCGGAGAAATTTCTCCACGAGCTCGTCGCGGCCGTACTTGCAGGCCGCGTGAAAATGCGTCAATCCGGACTCGCCGATGTAATTCGCGTCGAATCTTTTATATATTTTAAATAAATTATCGATTACCGACCTATGGACGTAACCTCTTTCGGTCGCGTAATGTACCGGCGTGTCGCGACGAAGTACTGGCTCGCCGTTTTTGTCGATCTCGGGCTCGTCCTCGTAGCCAGACCTAACCACAAAGTCGAGGAACTTGCTGATTTCGTACTTCACGTCCGTTGTCAAGAGCCAATCGATTTCTTCGCGCTTGAACACGTCTCGAAGATCGGGAAGTTGACCCTCCCATTCGCTGATCAACGGAAGGAGTCGAAAGAAAAAAGTTCTTCTTTCTTCTTCGACCTCCCAATCGAACTCTTCTCGCATATCTTTCAATTTTTTTAAACAGTTCTGTTCGTCTTGGGCCATGGTTAAAACGTATACTCGAAAGCACTTGACTCACGTTTTACAGTTTAACTAATATTCACTTGTCAACAAGAATCACTGAGGGACTGCAGTGGATACTACTTTGTTTAAACGTTGTGGCGTCGTGAGGTGTTCGAAGCTCGAGTCGCGCGCCCAAACTGAACGGCGAGTCGAACGGCAGTTGCAAACTGCCTATTCAAATGCTGCAGAAGCCACCGCTCGAGTTCGAGTCGAACTGCTCCTTTTTCATATCGTGTGTTTTTCGTTCGTATTTCGTGCAGTGAATTGTGAATTGTGATGGATCAGTGATCAGTGAATTGTGTTTTGTGTCTTGTTGTTAGTGCGAACGTTTTTAAAGAAGTGAGATTTTACTGAGGGGCAGCGGGTCAGACAAAACGAATCTCAGTAAGCCCGCGCGCTCGGCCAACGAACTTTTACTCGGCGATAGAAGTAAGTGTTGCATAACGTACAAATTTTTCGCTTTTTCATTTTGTGTATACTGCGCGAGCCATAATGCAATAATTTCGCATATCAATATTGGAGCGAATTTATCGAGAGGTTAGTTACTTGCTCAGAGTTATTTCACCGAGCATTTTAAGCTGGACAAAGTCTATCCGATCGATGTCGAAAGAAAACGAATGCAAGTATATTATCCAATTTAACAAACGAGTGAAGCTTTCAAGAAAATGTCGAGTTATAGCGTTCGGACGAATTTTGTTTGTCCCTATAGGTTTCTTAAATTCAGAACAAAAATCGAATGATTCACAAGCGCAGATGTATCCTTAATACATAAGGGATCGCGTTGATGATCTGCAATGCGTCAGTAGAGTAGCCACTATGCATCGATGCTGCTTTCGAGATAATTCGCATGATATTTCGACCGAAACCGCCAAAATTTTTGGAGAGAGTTCGACTCTCGCAATGTGCGAGTTGACTTCATAGCGAGGGCTTTTTTTCAGCGAAATAGCGCAATAATTTTAGGATTTAGATTCGTGCCTCTCGCGCGGGCTCACGTCTTCGACGTCGTGCAAGTGGTCCATCTCTTACTGTATAACTTATGTAATGGTATTCTTGTCACGCGCTCGGTCAAACGTAAACAAATCAGCCAAATCAATCAGTTTCAAATAACACATATTGCAGCGGTTCTTGAGTATAAATCAGTTAATTTTGACTTTTTCAGTAAAGTTGTACACTTTTAATTTTATCGAATACATTAAATCATTTTTCATTCCATTTTATTCCTAATCGTACGACGCGTTCATTGCATTTTTCATCAAATAACCCTGGCTGCAGGCGGTATACAAAAAGAAAAACCTGAACAATCCAATCAACAATTTAAATTCAAGCTCATAAACACATCGAACTCACGTTGCGAATCGATAAATCAGTTTCTGTTCGAGAACAGCAGCAGTCAGTGTGTGAAACTTCGACGGAATCCCACAAGAAGAGAAAAAAAAAATGATTCAAATCTAATTCACAAGTTCAGCTCCGTCTGTATATACCCGCACGCATAACTCGATGAGTGCAGCATCTTGTCCCCTTTCTGAAACTCCGTATGTACATATGATATAACTCCATTCAATCAGAGACTCGCGTCGTGTACGACAATGATAGCTACTATAGACCCGCATACGTATACACAGAGCGTCCAAGTAAAGCGATGAGTATATAGTATACGCACTATCGGTGCGGTCTGCGCGCGAAATAACTTTGTTACGCGTCCAAGCTCCAAAGTGCGTACACCGGGTAAAACTTTTGTCCATCACAAACTTGGCATTTACCTTCGAGATCGATGTATGCGCCTTGAGAGCCTATATGTACACGCGTAAGTACACGTATACGCGTGCCAAGACCCATTAGTGGATTAGATAAAGATGTATCGTACGTATCGTTGTCTTGTCTTGTCTCGAGGTTGTAAGCCCCTCCCCCGTGTCGTGTAAGCTCCGCTTAATATAACGCAGTCTCCTCCTTATATACACGAGGTAAACTGCATGTACTACGCGTGGGAGATCGTAAACCTCAATCAAGACGGCGCATAAATATAGTATATATATACAAACGATCATCTCTGCGCCATTATCGTCATCATCGTCGTGCTCGAGCCCTTAACCCTTTTGCATCCATCATAGCTTGTTTTGATTACAATTAGCAGCGATATTTCACCCCCCCCCCCNCCCCCCCCCCCCCCCCGTTCGAGTAAGACGATCGGATCGTTTATCAAAGGCCCCGCACACGCACTCACAGGGCGAAATTTCAAAACGTACGTAAAATGAATTAATGATCGCTCGAGCGCAATTATTATTATTATTATTATGGATTAAGGTCGTCCCGTGACGTACTCGATGAGATTAAAATTGGTGCGCGCGCGCGTGATTAATTGTTACGCTGCAGCTCTGTCTCTGTCTTTAATCCGATGCAAATCGCGCGGGGGGTGGTCATCTTGCTGTTTCTTCTTTCGCCCTCTGCTCTTCTCGCGAGATCGCCTTTTAATTAAACGCTTTCGAGTCGAGTCGTGTAAAAATTTACCTCGGCTGGCGCGCGCATTCCTTCTTCCTCGTTCGACTCGAATTTTTTTTTTATTTCGTATCTCTAACCCAGCGTGTGCCGAGATAAAGATAAAGAGATAGACACAAAAGAGGATCCTCAAAGCTCTCTCTCTCTCTCTCTCTCTCTCTCCTCGCGAGCCTGCGAGAGCGCATTATATTGGCTCGTCGGCAACGAGATCGCTTCTCCACCCCCGCAAGTAGCAGCAGCGGCAGCATCTCGAGGAGCTGCTGTTGCCTCTGCAGCGGCACAAGCTCCTTACTGTGTATAAAACGCTACTACACGTATATATACGGTATCCGATTTTCGCTGCGGAAGACATATTTGACATAGTGTGCAGAGAGAGAGAGAGAGAGGGCCACGCAAGTTCCCACGCGCGCGTGTGTGCTGCTGCTGCTGCCGTATTTTCCTTTAAGCGGTTTCGAGCTTCGCTTCTTCCTCTTCTTCTTCTTTTTTTTTCTTCTTCGCTTTTTATTTCGAGCAAAAGAAAAAACCGTGAAGTTTGTGCGAGCTGAATAAATTTTTTTCAACGTTCGGCTTCTCTCTCTCTCTCTCTCGTCTCTCTGTGTGGTACGTGGTATATACTGCACACACATCATACACAGGCTCCTTCTTCCTCCTCGTTTTCTCTATCTTTTTTTTTTCTTCTTTTCCGGGCTACGAGCGGCGTATATATATGCACGCGCATTTCTTTTGGCCACGTAAGCGTCAATAATTGAAAGAAGCAAAAAAAAGAGGAGGAGGGTACATGAATAATTCATTGCGATCGGGCAGAAAATTATTATATCTAAATGATTTTTCCGAGGGAATTAAAATATATAGCGCATTGCATTAAAGTACGCCAACGGCATCATTACGGCGATAAATAATAATTTTCCGTGCAACGCACGCGTACTCCTCTCGATGCGATAATTTTAATTCGACGCTTTGACGTGCTGTATACAGATACTCGTTACAATTTGCGCAAAATGTTTATGTATAAAGTAACGTCCCAACCCCGCTTTTTTTTTTTTTTTTTTTTTTTTTTTTTTTTTTTTTTTTTTTTTTTTTTTTTTTTTTTTTTTTTTTTTTTTTTTTTTTTTTTTTTTTTTTTTTTTTTTTTTTTTTTTTTTTTTTTTTTTTTTTTTTTTTTTTTTTTTTTTTTTTTTTTTTTTTTTTTTTTTTTTTTTTTTTTTTTTTTTTTTTTTTTTTTTTTTTTTTTTTTTTTTTTTTTTTTTTTTTTTTTTTTTTTTTTTTTTTTTTTTTTTTTTTTTTTTTTTTTTTTTTTTTTTTTTTTTTTTTTTTTTTTTTTTTTTTTTTTTTTTATTATCTGCACTGATTTTATTTTGTCCGGGGCGCCGCTTCGCGGAGCTCTCGAGCTCGCGTATATATATATATATCCAAGTTGTAATTTGAAACCGAGTCTCCAAGTGGAGACACTGCGGAAAAGAGACAGAGAGAGAGAGAGAGAGAGAAAAGAACCTTCAAACGCTTCTCACGTAAGTCGAAGTAATAAAACGTTTATGCACCCGACGTCAGCGTGATCCTACTCGTTGATGCTGCTGCAAAAGGAAACATTTCTTCTCTCTCTGTTTCGACCCCGTGATTTTATCATCAACGGGGATTTCTTTTTCTGTTCATTTCTTTTTTCTTTTTCGTTCGACTATATGTACCTTATGTGTACGTCGAACCATTTATTCTCGACTTACCTCTACTTATTTTAATCTCATTTCAACGTGCCACGAGATGAATCGACACCACTAGCACCGCCGCTAGAAGCTCGTTCCGCAATTTCCCCTCTCGCGTCGTATCCTAGCTTTTTTTTCTCTCTCTCTCTTCTCGACTCCTCGCAGGTCCACTTTTACACGTTTATCCGATTCTTTTTTTTTCACCCGCAGCAGAAAAGATAAAGAAAGAGAGAGAGAAGAGAGAGAAGAGAGCACACACACTCAGCGGAAAAGTACTCACTCTCTCACTCTGATTCCAGCCGATCGTTCTGATGTGTGTGCCTACGTGCCCCTGCGCGTGTCAGACGACAAGAGAAAGAGAGAGAGAAAGAGGAAGACACTTTCATGCGAAGTACGCAATTGGAATTGAGATATCGTCAAATTGAGATTTTACGCGCAACTGTCTCTCTCTCTCTCTCTTCGTTCCTATACGTTTTATACGATCTTCCTTCGAGTCTTCCGCTACTTCAATTTTTTTCTTCTCTCGGCCCTTCTCTCTGTCGTCGGAAATATTTTACGTTCCCCCTTCGAGTGCGTAAAATCGAATTGTTTTTTTTTTTCAACTGCGCGCGAGCGAAAATTTTTCTATTTTCGTTTTTTCTTGGGCAACGAACTTCGTAACGAAACGTCGTGCAATGAGTGCACGAGCAATTGTATTTAAAAAAATCATTGATATTTGAGGTTGTGATCATGAGAGAAATTTTTGTCACCTTGACACGTGAATGTTGATAATTGTTTATCGAGGTCGAAAAA